ATTTTCCACCATTTGCAAAAAATTCTTTAAAAGTCAGACAAAATAATTTTCTCAATTTTTTTCACATTTTGTCTCTCATAGTTCAGGTCTACCTATGATGTCAATTACAGGCCTCTCTCATCTTTTTAAGTGGGAGAACTTGCACAATTGGTGACTGACTAAATACTTATTTTCCCCACTGTATATATATTTACTAGGGATGCAACGATACAGAAAATTCACAATTCGGTTGGATACTTTAGTCTCACGGGTGGATATTTTTTTTGAACCAAATAACTGAAATTTCCATGCCCTTTTAAACTCGTAATTTATTGAAATTATTTATGAACATTTGTTTAACCTCAAAAGTACGGTTTTTATATTAAATTTAAACTTAAATTTTGCTGAAACAGCAAGTTTCTCAGTGCATCTGCGCTCGAAAATACAGCCTAGATGGAGTAGTCGAACACAGATCCACTGATCCTTCAACACAGAGCATCTTCAGGAGACAAGTTTATAAAACAATTTTTAAAAATCTGTATTGTTCRATACAAGTGTGTACTGAACCTAAAGCTCTGTATTGAACAGTTCGATACGGGTACATGTATTGTTGCACTCCTAATAATTACTAATGTGTAAGAATTAGAAGAGTTACAATGAACTGTAATTTATTCAGTCTTTTACTAAAATAATAGGCGAGTTGTTTGTTTTTAACACAGTGAAACTGAACGCCGTGCATCCTTGTGTTTTGAAGCTCATCGGGTTCATGACGATTTGGTTACAAAATCTGAGATAACGGCACAATGACCGGCTGCGAACGGTATCTTCATCATCAKAAAACTTCAACAGCAAATCTGAACTCACACAGAACGAAACTTACTGAACTGCAAGTTAAAATAATAAATCTGAGCATTTTTAGAGTTAAACTTGTTAACTTGATGAAAATAATTTCTAACTGATCTTTTATTTTTGTTCTTTATTTGTGTTAAAACACTGCGCGGGTCATGCAGGGGTGTTGCAGCGGGTGGAWACTGAAAACAGGTGCACAAATAAGAGATGAGAGCACCGGTAATGGGAACAAATCTTTCAGATAACATTTTTGATGAAAGATCATTTTAAAAGAACATGACTTTTTATAGGAGATGACAACAAAACAGTAACCGCCCTAATAATAGGCCTTCCAGTGTGAGGTCTGAGGGAATCCTCGGTGCAGCTGGCACCAACGCTGCAACTGTAAATAGAGAACCACGGGTAATGTGAGCGTCTTCCTTAATCTCACTACTTGCTAACATCGGTTAAATTTAAACCGAAGTTTATACAGAACATTATGGGGATATTTAACCAGACTCTTTTCAGCTGTGTTTACAATAATGTAAAAGCTGTGTGGTTTCAAGGAGCAACATATTAAATATTTGGCAACAGTTTTTATTTGACCTCAAGCATCAAACATCTGCGGGATCAGCTTGATGTGTTGTTCTTTCCATAGCGWCAAACACAAACACTGGTTTGTGATCAATTCTGGTTGAAAAATGGGATGTCATCCCCCCACAGCTGTGTGTGACCAAGCTGGAGCAGCATGAGGAGGAGGAGGTGCCAGGCTRTTTTGGCTGTGTATGGTTCTTCCACATGCCCGTTTGGTAAATAAATAAATTCTGAAATTGCCAATATGTCTCGTTTCTTTAGATTTTAATCATCTTTACCAATAAACAAACAGCAGAACAAGCTGTTTGGTATTTGCACAAAGGATTTCAATTTTTTATGGGCATAACCCACAACTCTGGTGCTAAACTTGCAAATGCATTTTCCTACCAAATGTGGCACTTTGATTTTTGTGCAAATGCTGTGATAGGAGCATTGTTTCTGTTACCTTTAAAACTAAAATGATGCTCTAATCATCAGCTCAGCACAAATCACACAATCCCTATCATTTCACAACTACAGTTACAACATGAGATTCTGTTTAGCAGTGTTTAATGAGCCACAATATCTATATTATCAGTTACAGAAGAAGTGATTGTGTTGCTACTGTTTTTAAATTATGAGAAGGTATGTTGAAACTCTCCTGTGTGCTGTTTTTGGCTCACTACTGATAGTAGTTACATCACTTCCTTTAACTGTTTCGGTCCTAATATAAGTAATGTAAAATCAAATAAACGCAAGTTAGATTTAGTCATCTAATGTTAATTTTATTAAATAAACTAAACTATGTGTAGCTCTTTAAGGCATTAAGCTGGAAACTAGTGGAAATAAATTAGGCTCCACTTTGAAAGGTTTGACATGCAGCCAATGCACAATCTGAAGAAGTCAGCTGTAATAAAGCATGAGCAAAAAGAGACTTAATTTTTGTATTATTATAAATTTTTACCAAAACTTGCAAACAGAGCTCTTCTGAGTGTTTTTTTTTTTGTTGTGTAACTTTGACCCTGGGGTAAATAAAGTGGGAACTTATGCTGTGCATCTCTTTAATGACTGGTCTAACGGGAACATACAAAGTGAGTGGACTCGTGACTGCATTTTTACAGTCATGTGTTTAAAGCAGGATGTGGGGAAGTGGAAAACAACATGAACTGGGAACAAGTGAAAGTGAATATCCCTGAGCACACGTGTCGCAGCTTACCTATATGCGAGCGTCATGCACTCAAAGAGTTTAGTGAGGGAAGCGTCAATGGAGATGTGCGACGTGCTCGCTTTGCCAAAATGATATGTCTGACAGGTCTGTTTGTTGACAGTGTCAAAGTCGTAGCCCTTCTTCGAGGGGTGCTCGCAGTGCGGCGACGACACCATGAAGTGTCCGCTGTGGATGATCTGAGGCTCCAGCCCGTCCGCCTTCCTCAGCCCCATCATCATGTGGGTCTCCTCCGCGTCCGAGTCGTCGTCCTGCTCCTGTTTTATGCTGGCCGCCGGCCGACGGTAAGCCTGCCGCGGCTGAGACATCTCCCCGGTAGCCAAATCGGCAACTTTCAGAAGCTAACGTTAGCCAGCGAGCTAGGACAATAATAAAACTGTCCCTTTCATGAGGCCTGCCCGAGAAGAACGCTTGTTTGAGTCCGGTTGTTAAAGTTGGACAACTTTGTGCCATGTAGTCAGAGTGCTCACTTCATCCATGTTAAACTTTGCCTCTTACCATTATCGGCCCAAGTAAAAAAAAAGTGTTATCTTGTTCGATAGCTGACGTAGCTACAAAGCAGCTGACAAAAAAAAAAAAAAAACTGCTCCTTTCCCTGTAGCAGGAAGTCCCTGTGCTACGGCGTCTCTGATTGGTCAGCGTCTGAGCCACGCCCACCTGACCAACCTAAAATAAATGGAGGCGGAACTTCACGACACAAGCCTGTTTTTACAAGCAATCTTTATTCAATCAAATTTTTATGTGAAAGTATTACTGTAACTGTCTATTAAAAGGACTATATATAATTTTACATTTAATAAATAAACAAAAATAGTCCTAACAACAAAAAAATGTGTATACATTTCTAAAAAGTAAAGTTTACTAAAGGTAAAGAGGCTGAACATTTAGAGTAAACACTTAAATTGTGTTTCTAAAAGACCTTCAATTAAATATACCAGCATTAAAAYTATAATAAATAAATAAACAAATAAATAAATAAATAAACCCACCCAGTATGAAGTGTACAGGCAATTTTATTTGAGCTGTAGCTAATATCATGTATACAAAAATGTATATTATTTGCATTTAAAACATATAGTATAAGTTGACTTTTTTGGTAGAATATTTTTAATATTTATTGATAAGTTACTCCAAAAGTACTGAAGGTGGATAACATTTGAATTAAAAATATTACAACATTTAAAAGTTATCTGACCAGGCCATGTTTATCTGAAAATGCTTTTCTTAAAAAAAAATTCACATTTTAACCTAAAACACAAGCTGCAGTAGCTCTGGAAGGGCTAATGTGGCTCCTCAACAACACATGTTCTTCAGATGAGCTCACAGGTTTTATTACTCTGGAGGAGAGGACGAGGGACTCTGCTCCACAGAGAATGGCAAGCCCAGGATGTGATCTGTAAATGTCTCCACTGACATCTCTTCTGGGATTGCCCTCTCCAGTGAATATTTTGATTCTTCACCTGAGCATCAAACAGACTGTTTTATGACGATTGCGTAAACTTAATGTTTATTATACATAGTGTATGACGTGTCATGCTTACAAAGTGCCTCTTCTTCCTTCTCCTCTTCACCAAGGTCTAAAAGTTTTGCAAAACTCTCTGCCACCTCCTCCTCTGTCATGTGCTCTCCTGTCAGTCAGAACAGAACCATATAACCAGACGTGCCACGCTGATAGTGAGAAACGGAACACTTAAGAAATCAGACACTGGTCTGCAGCGTACCTCGGACCTGTAGAAGTTCTATCAGGTCCTGTGTCAGGAGGACCGGCTGTCCTGTGCCATCACTTTTACCAAGGACCTGAAAAGCTTGGATGATCTCATTTCTGGAGATGCCAAAAGCTGGACGATGGTTAATATACAGCTTGATAAACTCCTCCAGATCGATTTCAGTCACGTATTTTTCTGTTTCAGCATATTTGCTGAACTTGACTTCATTTAGCATGTTGTCTATCTGGTGAAATGAACAGAACAGTTAAAAATAGCTCAACTCAAAAGTACTTTTATGCTCAGTTCACTGTACCTCTTGCTCTGTCGGGAAGTGGCCCACAGCTCTCATTAGAAAGGGAATCTGAGACAGGGGAATTGTAGTAGATACTTGTCGTTTCTTCATCGTGTTAATGCCTTGATGACGAATTTGGCAGTAGTAGAAATAGTCTTCCAGCTCCTGAAAACAAAAAAAGCTCATATCACTGAGAAAATGTACATTATAAATTATAGCCATGACCTGGGGGTAATCAAAACGGATACAAGCAGGTAAAATCATCTTCCTTTGAGGGAMTGTCCTGCTTGCAGGAGACCCAGAATGCAAGTGAGACAACAGATAATTTTTCTGCCCTGGGAACACCTCRGGATCCCAGAGAAGGAGCTGGAGTGACCACCATGTATGGTTTTTCACAGAATATATCTCACAATTTCAGGTGCAGTAGATGAAAACACAGATCAAAAATGTATACAAACCATTTTATTCTGTGCTTGTTAAGTATGAAATGAAACACACAATTAAAAAAAACACAATGACACTGTAAGATGATGATATACATATTATAATACATTTAGCAAGCATGTGGACGAGGCCTTGAAAAAAAAACCTTGAACTCACCTTGTAAAACCTGCCATGTCTTCCTCCGTCTAACAGAGAATAAAACGGTGCCATGTCCTTTTCACCCAATGCAGCTGCTGCTTCCAACACACTGTAGCAACACAAGTTTAAAAACAAAGCATTGTACCRCTCGTCCAGGTGCTTTGCCGCTCAAGTTGGTACTGGCAAACCTTACTCCAAGTTAATTTCCCACGACAGGACGCTGCAATCAGACGTCCCTGCAGTGAAAACAAACTGCCCATCGTAGGAGCAGGCGAGGGTGGACACCCCTGTTGGGTGGCAGATCAAAGCGTTGGACTTGTGGGGGTTCCCATCCAGAGGTAAAATCTGGAGACCAATCTGCAGGACATCCAATCACTTCGATAAATTATGTTTAACTCTAAAATAATTTTTTTTCTCAACTGAATGTCTGGACAACAAACGTCACATCACTGAGTTGAAAGGAAGAACGAACACAACAGCGAGAGTGTGGCAAACAGAAGTAATGGATTCCACCATAAAATGACACTTAAAAAACGTTCCAGCACTGACCTTATCCTCTGTGATGTATGCCAGGTTRAATGAGTTTATTTCAGGGTCTCTAGACTTGGGTAGAACAACTATTTGCTTAATGGGAGAACCATATGTCGGGCCAAGRAGAGTCTTCCTGTTTTGGTAGAACAAGTAACACAATGATGCTTCACATATTTAGCAGTGAAAGACAGAAAATTCAGRTGTACTTTCTCAGTTTTACAGACCTGCACATTTTAGTTGTGCTGTCGAAAAGCTTTAGATGGTATTGGTCCGAGCCAATGAGGAGAAACTGCTCTGTGCTGAGAGGAGGATACCACGCCATGCACAGAGGCAGAGCACTCTGCTCGACACRCTCAGAGCTCAGGATGAGAAGCTTGTTCACCCTGCTGTTTTCTAGATCATATTCCACCTGTTATTCAGTTCCACACACATAAAAACAGCCACGAGTCCAAAAAGCAGCTTAAAAACTATGTGTTAGGCAACAGTAAAATATGCAATGTTGGCAAACCAGTCTGCGGTCCAGTCCCAGAGAGAGCAATCTGGGTTGGGTGCTGTCCAGATGAACTCCAAAMAGAAGGTCGTTGATGGGTTTGTAGTGAGAACCATGTCTGCCCAAATACGTCCACTGAGGTGATCCATTTTTTCTCATCAAGTGGTACACTGACACTGCCATACCAGCGTCCTAAGTTAATCAAAACAATAAAATATTAAAACTTAAAACAGTTTTTGCAGTAATCAAAGCTTTGACTAAAGGTCAGAAATTAAAAAAAAAAACTGCAGCTGGATGAGAGAAATTTCCGACTTGCTCACCGCAGTGGCAAGGTACTGTGAGTCCGAAGAGAAGGTGATGAGATGGATGCTGTCAGTAGTGCAGTGGAAACATTCCTCTGGCTCACTTTGCAAAGTGGGGTAATTCAGTATGTGAACAGCTCCACTTCTAAAGCCCACTGCCAGGTAGAAGCCTGAACACAGACACTTAGTTCTTAAAGACCACCAGCATCAGCTGCACTCATTTTGATTCACTCAGTGAGACGCCTTCTTTACCTTCAGGGTCAAAAGTAACGCACTGGATCTGCTTTTCCATCATRAAGACTTTGCTGCCAGTGGCCTCTTTTTTGTTATAGTTCCACATTTTTAAAAWGCCTCGTTGGTTGCCCAAGGCCACTACTGGCTGACTGGGATGACAYGCCACTGCGTGGAGAGGCTCGTGGTTGTCATGCAGGAGGGTTTGAAAGATGGCACTCTGTGCGTTCACATGTATGATTTTGGAACTGACGGTGGACACTATAAAGTTCCTACAAAGAAGAAATACTAAAATACAAGCATCTTTTTAATGTAATAGCAAAACAATTTAAAGTGCCTGTGACGTGCATATCCATGAAATACAAAAAGTCAAAGAAAACATTTTTATATTTAAGAAACTTGGCATAATGCAYGTGATTTGACMCATTATGTCACATAATTGGCATATTTTCTTTTTAACTWGGCTCAGCCAAAGTAAAACAGGAAGTGACATCAAAGGGGAACTCTTTGAGAAAGAAAACTCCCTGGTTTTTGTTTATTGAAACAATTTTATTTGAACTATGCCTCTTTTTCATCTCTCTATGATAGTAAATAAAGAAACATCAGATTCTTCTCTACAGTCTGTGTTGTCRGCCTTTGTAGCAACGTTTTATTCACGTTCAGACATTCCCCTTTGACATCACTTCCTGTTACTTCACATGCAAATATCTCAACAACTGTTCATCAGTGGTGTGAAATCTTTTTTTCACAATATGCTATCAATGTTTGTTTTTTTCAAAAATGGATTCATGTTTATCACAAAATTTGATTTCACAGGCACTTTAAAATGAATTTGATCATGTCTCATACCTGATAATTACTGGTTTGTTTTGCACATCGCAGTCCTTCAGATAGCCCTCTGTACACTCCTTGGAAAAGGAAATGGAAACAATGGCTCCCTGCGTGAAGCARCTGAACCACTTGAGGAGTAAGAAGTCTTCATCATAAAAAACAATTTCTCCTTTTGCATCACCAGTTACAATAAAGCTGTGAGGTCAGACAAAATAAACAAAAAACAAGGTAAGCGTGAACGACATTTTGACAAAAACTATGAATATTCCCATCCCAGGCTACCTTTCGGTCACGGTGAGGGCAGTGATTGGGTCTCGCTGGAGCTTCAGTTTTGTGATTTGGTGATGGAGCAGACTGCGTTTTTCCACTTCGCTGACGTCCCACACTACAAGGCTGCCTCGTGAGGCTGTGATGACCTGAGGTTTTGTGCAGTGAAACCCAGAGGGGCTCAAAGACACGTCAGCAACCTTTACACTTTTCAGGGGGCGTGGAGGAGGCTGAGTAGATACAGCAGCATCTGCTGCGTGGCTGAACTGCAATGATTTAATAAAATGTTGAACATCTATAAAAAAACATTCAGAAATATAAAAAAACTAACAAGAATTCAAATAAAACAAATTAATTAATAAAATTGAACTAATCTACCTTCTTGAAGTTCATTTCAAAGTACTGCAGACTTCCCTTGCTCTGAAAAGAGACCAGTTTATTATTGAAATAAACTCAAAAATGTATGTTTTTATAAACTTAAACAAATTCAGACTCACTCTTTTGTAGAACAATATGTGAGTCTCACTGCTACTGAGAAGCTGACTACTGTCATTGGGTTTAAAAGTGATGTAAGCCTGAAAAAATAAATCAACTTTTGAACACCAAACCTCTTCAGTGTGCGGATATTCAAATATTGACTCAAAACCAAGGTTTGCTTACTTGAAAATTGTGTTTTGGATTGAGTTCAGTGCAGCAGAGAGGCTTTTGGGTTTCACTGGTCCAGTCCCAAATGCAAACACGCTAATAAGATTGTAACAGAAAGGTATGCTGAACTGTTTGTTTTGCGTTCATTAAACATAAAAGATTTGATTTACGCCAAAACTATTAACAAGTTTGTCAGACAAAACACCATATGGACAAGGCGTCAGAACTCACTTGAACAACTTCACCCCCGATGGTCGCCAAAAGCTTTGCGTCACTCGAGAAAGCCACGGCAACAACTCCTCCAGCAGGGTGGCAATCAAACAACGTGCACACAGGAATACTGGGAGATGTATCACAAACAGTGTTTGCATCAACAGTAAAAACATAGTACAGTAAAAATATTTCAGTATATGTGGAATGGGGTGCTACCCAGAGTAGGAGTCCCATATTATGACCATGCTCGATGRTCCTTTTTCTCCTGTCGCGACCCAGCGTCTGTCTTCACTGGCACACATACATGAGATAAGCTGGGAGTGACCCTGAAGGTATAAAACGTTTACACAGAAAACTCTTCAACATGAAATCTGTGGAGTGGTATTCAGTAATACACAGCTGGCAGCCGGTTCAGATGTTATCAGTCCATTAAATGGACGTTATCAGCGGATGTCAGTCCCATAGAATGGCTTCAGACTGTGTTTACCTACTAATTCGTTGGAAGGCAACAGTCTGCTGGACTCCAGCCTACTAGCCCAAGTCATTTTCTCTAAAATTAACCTTAGTGGCTTTATGCCTCATACTAACCAGCTGAMAGTCTGAAGCCATTCTATGGGACTGATAACCGCTGACAACGTCCATTTAATGGACTGATAATATCTGAAGCGGGTGCAGCTGGATCCAAAAGGTTTCTATCCTAAAATAACAAAAATGAGTATAAAGTGTCCAATGATGATTATTTGTTAGTTTTGAGCAGAGCAGAGGAGATTATTTTACTCTTTAGACATGTAACATTGCCTTTTACCTCAAAGCAAACAGAGCCTAAAGTATTGATCTTTTGTTTGATCTTTGGTATCCCATTAAACTGATTTTCACAAAATCTTTCAGTTTCTATACACTGCAAAGTATAATGCAAAATCTGTGTTGTTTTYAGTATTTTAAATGTCTGTTTTATGTTTTTAAATGAATCTGTCCTTGACTTTTTTGATAAAGAAAATAAATAACAATTCCAAACGACCCCTGATATGGACATTGATTTGGATGATGATTTGAATGGGTTTACCTGCAAAATATGCTGGGAGTTTGATGTGTGATTATAAATAATTCCAACATTAGTTGCAGCATAAAGGACAACCATCTGATTGTGGTCCTGCAGGCTGAAGACAGGAACAGCTGGATTCATTCCAAAGACCCAGTCTGGTGACTAAATGAAAACAAGTTGAGAGCCAGTTTAACTCAGAAATTTGTTATTAGAATGCTTTGTTTTCCTCGACAGCAGGTGTTATTTTCTTGAATGCTGCATTTCCACACTATACTTACTAATGCCTGGGTTTTAGGATGAGTTCTYTGTTTTGGGAAAAGTGTCTCTTGGGTTGCAGTGGAGACTCGAGACTGACCAGTCTTTCTTATCGTCCTCTGCTTCTCTTCATCCTCAGATGCTTGATTTTCTTGTTTTGGCTGCTTTTCAGCTTCGTTGTTCGTCGATGGATTCGCATTCTTTGTTTCCTTTGCAGACATGACGCTCAAACAACTTGTCTTCCAGATTATGCCAAGTTAGGCCCGCTCACAAAACTAAAAAAAAAAAACTAAATAAACCACGTTGTAAAGTAGAAACCCATTAAAGTTACCAAAATTATTCATTATAGAAATATTAGCAATGTTTGGTAATCGACTTTTAAAGTTTAGTTCCTAGATCAGTTGGTCCAGTCCTGCCCGGCGTCCCGTTGCTTAGTAACGCCTGATCGGAGCTGCACACCATTTAAACCACAGGCGGATAACCGGGCCAGGTGGGCGGGGCTTGCACTCCATTTAAACCTTTCAGGGCAACAACCAAAGATGTAAAGRCCTTTATAAATCTGTGGCAACAACAGCCGAATGTCATGCTCAGATCCAGAAGCTATTCCATGCAGTAATCAGTTGTTAATGACATAATAAACTTAGATTGCTCTGTTAGGTTGTTCTTTATCTTTACTGAAGTTAAAATCTTCTTCTAGGTGAAGCACCACCCATCCTTACTTATCGCTCTCCACCCGGCTGATTAAAAAAAGCATGCGCCTATCAACAAAGGAAGGTGAAACCACTGGGTGCAACAATAAACATGCTCTATTATTGCTTATATGACGTTGTTCTTATTAATATGCGTCTAGAAAAATTATGTCTTCACAATGTTGTATATCAAAATTTAGATGTGTAAACGTCGCATTCAACCAGTAGCGGTTTAATGATATTGACCATTAGAGGCCAGTAAAGGCTCATTTTGATTAATGATAAATAACCTGTACGTACAAGAGGCCTTTTTGTATATTTAACTACAAATGTGTGCAAATGATAACACATTGCGTTATGTGCATTTTTTGAAGCAGTTGAAAGGCCATATATTTAAACCTTCAATTTATCAGTAGGTATAAAGTTTTAATGGCATAAATGTACTTCCGTTATATGCTTTTCAAAATAAAACACAATAAGGAGAAAACAAAGCGTGGTTACAGATGCGGGAGACCATGTATGAAACTGAGATGAAAACAACTTGATTTTTCCAATAATAGGATTTCTATGGTAATTGTAGCATTTTTAAATAAGAWATGAAACACTCCAGTGCCAACTTTATTTTGAAATATTGTCGCTGTGTAGAAATATCGCGATATTTCTTTTCAGCGCGTGCCGACGTCTTTCCGGTTACACAGGCTTGGCCAGCTATTGAACTGCGTTGAACTTTGTTGCTTCGTCTTTTTCGTTGTTTTAAACTTTTTATTTTTCATCAGTTTATTACAGTTTTTTGTGTAATTTACACGTAACCTGAGGGTTGTGCTCTTCACGAACTAAATATGGCGACTGTACGATAGTAGTCGAAGTCGAAAGTAAATGTACTCTTGTCGAAAGCTCAAACTAAACTCAAACCTCACGGTCTCATCATGATTTCACCCGGTCTCGAACAGGTGAGGAGCATTAATGTAATTAATGTGATTTATTGCTTATTCGGGGTTAGCCAGCATTAGCATCTCTGACCCAGGTTCTTCTCCAAACCCCTCAGCTGACAATCAGCCGTTCTGACCGCAGCGAGGTTAGCTAATAGCTAAAGGATCACCAACTCGTACGGATTGAGTTTTTTGTTTTCTTAATCGAGGACAGACACGATTCCTTACAATAATTATATTATAATGCATGTTGTGAAAAAAGTAAAGCAATACATTTTACTTWATGACAAGTTTTAACCTTTTTAACTGTACCCAAAACTATTTAGCCTTGCTAAAATCACAACAATGCTGGAAAAAATGATAGTGAGTCCAAAATGGGTTTTATTCTGTTATTTACGTACTCGAGTCTATCCACATTTTATGAATCATGTTAGAAACTTCAGTGGATGATTAATTTGAGGACAGTTAGAAGAAAAAAATTGCCAGTCCATTACCCAAAACTAAATGGACATACTATAGCACACGTAGGAAAACAGTTTTRCCTTTCTTGGGGGTACACCAGTATGTCATAACATAATGATCACATACTGGTGAACTATATGAGCAGTAGAAATCCTGTCTGTGTGTTGCGCACATGAAAAATTTGGCAATTCTTCTCCGCCTCTGCCAAACAGCTCATTATACTGTTGCTATTGATAGTTTGTTTCGGGCTCAAATACTGATGGTGTGTTTTTGTGGTTGACAGAGGGAGAGCTCTAAAATGTCCACAGATAAACAAAGAGGGATCAGAGTTTCTCAGGAAGAGCTGCTTTGCAAGAACGCCTGCGGGTATTACGGAAACCCTGCATGGAAAGGATTCTGCTCAAAGTGCTGGAGAGAGAGGTCGCGTCCGTCCGGAACCTTGAGACAAGACGCAAGGTACGCATTGTCACTTCTGAACACAGAGCGTGAGGTATTTTACGTCCGTCGTTTCATAACTATCATACTGCCACCTCTTTTAGACCGAGTGGTGATGGAGTGCCTCCCACATTTTCCAAATTTGAGGAGAAGAAAAGCATAGAGAAAGGTAGCCGTTATAACACTGTGAGGAGGCTGTTCTGGGGCAGCACATCTCCTCCTAAACCTCAAGGTAAATCTGATAACTTTGTGTTTATACATGATGTCCTCATTCTGTGATCACTTGATTTCTTAGAACTGCTCTGAGGTTCGTCTTGAGAAGTGGTAAAGTTAGATGATTAATACACTTTGTGAGTTTCCTCTCTGCCATGAATCAAATTTTATTTTTACCTTAAGTAACCTGACACTTTTTCGTCTTACAATTTCAAGTTCTAGCCATGTAACAAAATTGGTGTTTTATTATTTATTGTGAGTTGTGAAATATAAACTTTTGTGTTATGTTAGTTTATCTGCAACTTCATCCATTGTTTTTCCTCTTTAGAGTCCTCAGAAAGCCATACAAATCTGTTAAAAGCCTTTCAGGGTCTTGATCCTGGAGACTTCCCTGGTTTTCTAAAGATCCTGCGGAGTCCACCATCCCAGCGTTTGCAGTCCCGTTGCACTGCTTTCCTCAACACAATGGAGGCTTACCATGTAATTATTGTATAAATGTTACTGTTTTACACTTCAAGGCACCTCTTCCCGTTGTTAAATCCTGATCTAAGCTGCCCTCAATCTTTTTTTCTTTTTTCTTTTTACAGGGTCTGCCAATACAGAARCAGTCGGACCTTGTGCAGGATTTCTACCAGTCTTTTGCTGAATATTTTAGAAGTGAGTGCAAATCAGTTCATGGTGTTCCTGTTTACTTGTTTGCGAGGATGAGATGTTTGAGTTGTTGCTGTTTTCAGGTTTTCCTGAAGCTCAGGTCACTCAGATAATGGAGCACGTAGAGAAGCTGATAATGACACGGCTGCACAAATGGGTCTTCTGCCATGACAGCTGCGATGATGAACAGAAGGACCTGGCTCTTCAGCGACGGATACGGTAACTCTTCTTGCCATTTGGAGACTAATAACGTCATCTAAGATCTAAACTTCAGCTCTGGAGTCCCATTTGTCCCTGATGTTTTTTTTTCCTTTCAGCTCCTTAAACTGGGTCACTCCACAGATGCTGAGCGTCCCTTTTCCAGATGAAAACATTCCAGTGACAGGCGACCCCTTTCTGCCTGCTATAACAGGTGGGTTACAGCCTGATCCATTACTTTATTTCTCAATGTCTGGGATTTGAAAATGATTAATATCAGGCAGTTTTTTTTACACGTAGAAAGGTCTAAGCTTCTTGTTTCATCCTGTTTGTAACATTTATAGTAAATATTACCTCT